CCCCCATGCTCAGTACTTCTCTCCAGCTGAAAGCTCCAAGCTGCTGTCTCAGACTGTCACTTCATTGATTTAACATTCTAAAAGAGTTTTGTTCTGTTTGGTTCCAGGTCTCATCACTCGCCAGGGAGAACGACAGGGACTCGTACCGGCTGAGCTGGGGCACAGAGAACCTGGACAACGTGGCCTTGTCCTCCAGCCCGATCCATTCTGGGTAGGTTCAGTCCCACTGAGAGGGTCTGACAGAGAGAGACACAAACCTCTGAGAAGATGAAGACTTTTATTAGACCTCCTGAGCCGATGAGAGGCGGACCCTCACTCTGCCTCACACTTCTCTCACGTTTTCTTGCAATGTTGCTGCTCAACTTTTTGATTCCTTCTTGTCTGATGTGGTTGTTGTTTTTAGCCGTTCYTCTCCGTGCCATGATCATGGAGACCACAGCAGGTGACCCTCTGCACCTTGGTTCATTCATCCCCTCCTCATCTTCATCAGTTTCCTCCTCCGCTCACAGTGTGCTCTCCTCCTGGAGAGGTGGATGTTTGTCTCAATGTCCTGAAGACATCGCCTCACATACCTTTGTCCAGTCTTAGGCTCAAATGTCTTTCTGTCAATCTGTACTTTAATTCTCAGAGCTCATGTCACAATGGAGACGTACAGACAGTAAATTACGTCTGGTGCACACKGCATTAGAGAAAAACTTAAATGTGGACAAAATGAGGCGATGAAAGTGACGGACATGTTTGTTGATTTCATTCACTGTCTTTGTTTTTCTCATTAACATTGTTTTCATGTTATCTGCCAGGAATGTTTCTGTCTGAGCAGACTGTGTGTCTGCAGGAGACAGCAGTCTTCTCCTCATTCTGTCTTCTCTGTGTGTTGCTGAGTCACTTCACAGTTCTGTGTAACTAGCTGTCTGTCTGAGTTGGTAAAACAAGCACACCTCATCGTTCAGTTGGTGATCCATGAACACAGCTGCCTCGTTGCATGAAGGAAAAGTCTCTCAGTTTTGTTTTTTCTTTTGAGAAAACTGACACCAAAGTTTTTACGTATTCAAAACAATTAGAATCATCAGTCACAAATAATAGTAGTTCTCCAATTATCACAAAGTCAGCTTAGTTTATACTTTCATAATTTAAAAATAAGTTTAAAATAAATCAGATTATATATGTCCAACACAGCTGAAACACGTGAATGAGTTGTGTTCAAACTGATTGCTTATCTTCCACCTGCACCTGTGAGACATTCTGTAACAACCAGGAAGTAAATATTCTGTCTGACAACAGATAAGAGTCAACTCTGAGCCAAAACACCGAACAAGAGTTTATTTTATTTGTTTCCCAGGTTCAAGATCAATGCTGTRATGTTCAGATTAATGTTGAAAAAAAAAGCTAAAATTTTGTGAAAGTAAGTCCCAATATTTAAAAAAAATATGAATTAATGTTTTTTAGTCACACATGTAATGCTGCAGGGTTACAGGCTCCTCCTACTAAAATTTAATATGTGAAATTTTTATAATCCTATTAACATTTATTTCTAAATCTTTACAGGATAAAGTTACAAAATGCTGAACATCACAGTCAGAAGCAATAAACAGATTCAAATAATCACAATTATTATATAAAAGCTTAATATAACACCAAAGCTGTCAAATCACTTTAGTGTTCTAAGAGCTTTAGCTTTGGGGGATACAATAATATCTATTTAAAGTGCATTTTAATTCATCCTAGGTTTTTGTATCATAATGATGTTTTTAGACTTTTTAACGCTCCAGTAACAGGTTTTAACGAAGATAGTCAAACACTGTTTGTCTTTTCTACAGCAAAACAATTTATAACTAACTTCGTAAGGCATCATGTGATAAATTGTGGAGAAAAGGTTTAACAACAATAAGTCAGACAGCAGAATAAAGATATTATAAAACCTATTTATCCTCTGGAATCTTTAAAAAAAGGTCAGGTAGTTTGATAATAAAGCAGACCCACTCCTCACCTGATGTCTCAGTCATGTTCCTTCATCTGTCCAACGCTTCTCCTCTCCTCTCCCACCGCAGCTTCCTGGTCAGCTTCATGGTGGACGCCAGGGGCGGAGCCATGCGGGGCTGCCGCCACAATGGCCTCCGCATCATCATTCCCCCGAAGAAGTGYAGCGCTCCGACACGCATCACATGTCGACTGGTGAAAAGACATCGCCTGGCCACCATGCCCCCCATGGTGGAGGGCGAGGGTCTGGCCAGCAGGCTCATCGAAGTGGGGCCTTCTGGAGCCCAATTTCTGGGGTAAGGCTGCTGGAGTACTTAGAGGAGATGGTAATACGCAAAGATGTAGTGTTAATTAGTATTTTAAACTAATTATTTTAAATCCACCCGCAGTTTAAGAACCAGATTCTTCTGTTTTTGTTCTTGCTTGTTGATTATCTAAGCTGCCCTGTTTCTTTCAGACTGGTTTTCCAGCCTCTGCCTAACTTGAACTGTTTCTCTGCTCCTGCTGCCCTCAGCACAAGGGTCTTTGCTCTGCAGCATGCCTCGTTTGATTTGTCTAACTGTCTGAGCAAAGTCCACATCCTTAACAAACCAGCTTTTCTTATTAACCCCACCTCCACGGCTGCACCCTGAGCTGTTTCTATGTTCATCTGCCCCCTGCTGGTGACATGAGAGGCTGTGTCACTGTGGGGTTGAGCTTTCACTTTAATATCACAACAGATCATTCAAATCTGTTTACAATCAATTTTATAAATATGTAATGTTCACATTTTATAACAGTTAGTAAAAGCTTTCTATGGATCAGCTGAAGGATTTCAGAGGTTTTTTTTAATTCATCCAGATAATAAAGAATACACAGTCCAGCCTAGTAATATACAGTATATATA